TGAAATTGATTTAAATTCAGTATTATTATTTTATGAAAAAAATTAGCAAATATAACGCTGCATGTGTAAACCATATCATGCTGTAATTGAACTAGTATAATCTTACAAAAAGATGTAATTCAGCTGAAAAATTAAAAAAAAAAAAAAAATGAAACACTACAACTCAGCTGAAAAAGTATGTTGCAGTTTTGAAGTTATTACATTTTATGCTTTAGATAAAATATAAAAAAGAGCATGCTTCGTGCTATGATACCAATAATCGTCCCCCCACTCCCAACACACTTTCAATTATCGAGGTTTGTAAGAGCCCCTTTGTAATTTTTGTAAATATAGGTTGTAATATATCATTTTGTTCAGGAAGAAATGCCATTAAATGATTTTATTATTTTGTACATCACAAAGCCCTTATTTGATTGTCAACCCCTTTGGCCTCCTTATCAACTTTTGGATAAATTCTAGTTTGCATCTAAAACAGGAAAAAAATATTTTCTGTCATTTCACCAACCGTGAAATTTATTTCAAAAACAACCTATTTGTAACCCAACCTTAAATTTCTCTTGCGTTCCCTAGTCTTTCATCTGAAATTAACAAAGATGATAAGAATAAAAGCATGCTTTCAAATCAGCAGTTTTTGTGATTACACTAAAGAGATGGACCTTCAGTGCACTTCTATTTCCTGTATTTTTAAGTGAGCTTTCTCTTTGTGTGATCTTATCACACCACACAGAGGGAAGAAGGCTTGACTCCTGAATGACAAATCAGTTGTCAATCACCTACTTTCATTTTCGTTGGATTCTAGGATTTTGGAAAACACGAAGCAACGGGTGTCTTTTGGGGGCTAACATGCCACATTAACCCCCACAATTGTGTAAAATTTTGACCCCAGAAGGCAATTTTGAAATCGGCAAGTCTTTCTCTTGGGTAAGGGTGAAGTGCTGAAGTTAAAATTTTAGCTAAATAGAGAGGAATGAAACTCGAGCGGAGGGAAAAAAGAAACAAATATGCTTATATTCAGTCCTAGTGTAAACTCTCCATCTCGTCATGAACATAGTACTGAATCCTAAACAACTTGTAAGTTAATAATAAACAAATTATTACATCATAAACTATTATAATGAAAAGAAATGCTGTCATCTCACAGAGTAGAGAAGGAGAAGCCTGGTGCTGCCATTTATTGGCAAGGTACCCTCAGTAACTGGTATTAAAAACACATACATAATCTTCTTTTAATTACCAGTTTTCATTGAAATGCAGTAAATATAAAAGGTTCAGCATGTGTACGTCATATATTTACAAATTTTGAATTTTTTCTTTCCCTGCAATAGAATTTATCAATCTTCAAACATGATACCTTGGAACGAGGTATATTAATTTCATAACTGCAAAATATTGAGCATTCATGGGTGGTGCTGCCATTCAGAATCGAAAGGAAACACTACAAACTTAACGATTAAAGCTTTTGGAGTAGAGAAATTAGCATTTTTTCATAGGTTAAAAAATTGACAAACAAACCGGTGTATATTATATACCGATGCCCTTCAAAGGGTTATAAAAAAAAAAGAGAGAGAGTTGTTTGTGATATGGAGGTCTGGGTTTCAAATCATTCTGGATATTGGTTGCCTGGCTTTTAGGCTTCATACTGTATTTCATTTATATTTAATTAGAAATTAATATACAGAAAAAATATAATTATAATTAACTTTTTTTTTCCTTTTTTAAATATATGTGTATGTTAAATTTGCCATACCAGATGTATGGCTTCATTGTATACAAAGAAAGAAAGGCTTAAAATAATTGTAATTTTCACTACTAAAAAGTCATCCAACAAAGTTAATAAAAATATTGAATTTTAGTTTATTAATTTTATATTATTGAAATTATAGTAAATAAATCATTCTGTATTGATATATATATAACATATGATTTTAAAAGTAACTTTAATGAATTGCATTAAGCGAATACATGGCCTGCAGAAGAGTGCAGGCTTATGTAATACATGGCCTGCAGAAGAGTGCAAAAGCTGTAACTTTCAGACTGAAACCAGTTTTAATTACTATGTAAACAGTTTCTGTTTCCATGATTTGCATTTCTTTTATTCAGATAATGTAAGTGGTTAGTTCAGTCGCTTGTTTATCACTGTTAGTGTTCATTGCTTATTCACTTATTCTGCAATTATTTTTGAAGAATTTTTTTTAATTATTCATACATATGAATATAAGAAAATTGTATCTACACAAACTTAGAGTACATATCAGCCTATTTCTACAGTGATTAACCCCTTAACTGGTGCAGAAAACTCACATAATTCATTTCCCAGTGCCACGTTTTTTTTTTCCACACAGGCGCGCGTAGTTTTATGCGATGTATTAGGGAAAAAATAAGTGCAAGTTTTACTTTCTGAAAACTGTTTACTTTCACAAAATAAAGAATAAAAGAAAAAAAAAATGAATGCACAAAATTTAATGTTTTGAGTAAAAGTATAATAAAAAGATTAAGTGTAATGAAAATGATGTTTTTATAATAAAAAAGATTCCTAAAATAGAGTTTCGATCAATTCATTTTTAAACCAGTAAAGTGTAATATCGGTATGCCTAAAAAAACATATATTTCTTCTGAACTGGTTGAAGGCCACGATTTTGTTCTTGATTTTTCGTTTGCAAGCTGTTGTTTCATAGTCGTTACAAAACGGATAGCTTCAGTAACAATATGAAGCATGAGCAGTTCATCAAAAAATAATTGAAAAAAGATAAATGGGTTTGAAACATCTGTTATATCTTTCTTTATTCCTGGAACCTACTACAAAAAGTAAGTGGAAACGGAGGACACAGAATAAAAAAAAATACGTTTTACTCAAACAACACCAGCCAATACCGCGCAATCATTACTTTCACGGCTTTAAACACATTCCTCTGTCCAATTTCTCCACAGACTTCTCTGAAATAGTATCCTCCTTCGCGTACTTTGTCAAGGTCATTGTGGTGTTGCATTTCAAAGCTTTGCGAATAATTTTATGGGTAGCAACGTAAAGCAAATGATAGTATTTTGGAAGAGTATATATATATACTCTCGGGGCAGTTAACGCATTGGCTAAGCAAGGCGTATGTATATATACGCCTGCTGCAGTTAAGGGGTTAAGCAAAGCAGATGCAGTTTGTGGGCCACATAGAAGGTTAATTAAATTTTATGTAGTTGACTTTGTACTGTAACTAAACAACACGTACCATGTCACATGGCATATAAATGGCATATTAACTTAATGTAATAATCTGGAAATTTTGTAACACTGTTAATAAAGTTTGTAACATTAAAATCACTGTTTTCAAGCATAATATTTGAAATATTTTTTGCCTGTTTATGACTACACGCATATGTCAGCATCATTTGATAGAGCTGAAATTATATATTTAAAAAAAATATTAAGATAACTCATTTGTAGAATCTTGAAACTATATTATGATATTGTGTCTTTTTATTATAGTATATTAATTTACCTCAACTTTGCATAATGTTATAAGCTGATGATGTCTTTTTGTGATGATTTCAGTTGATTAAATAATAAACTAATGTAAAAATCCATTTAATAATTTTCTTAAAAGTTTGAGCTTTATTTTTTACTGCTAAAACATTTACTAAAGAAGGTAAACAATTCTAAGCCTCCCAATGAAGGGAATGTTTGAGCTAGTTTCTCATTACGATTTTTGTACGTAATCTCATGCTATATCAATGCACATATACATTCTATGCATCAGTTTGTTTATTATTATTTTATAGAATTATTTGTTATGAGTATCACATCACTAAACAACCACCTTGATATCATTGTTCATATTGAAATGGCATTCTCGAAATGTATTCTTAATAGCAGGGAGCAGATGAAACTGTAAGAGGATGAGATCAGGGGAATAAAGTGAAAATGAGCTGAAGCCGCAGTTGCATTGTTTTGATGCTGGCTTCTTTTTCAATTTTACCAGGCCTTTTCTCCTCCATAACATCTTTTATTTTGTGTATCAGATTGACATGATATTCCCTTTTGGTAGTGGAGTTTTTCAACACAAAGTCAATTAAAATTAATCCTTCTTATCCACTTTCATTTTCATAATTCTTTGTTTTTGCATTGGTGTAAAGTTTCTAGGGACCAATTTGTTTATGGACATTTCTTGATAGATGATGTGTCACAGATATTTTGTCAAGATTTGCAGATGGTCTCACTGTCATTCAATGATTGTTATGTGACTGTATTTGGCACAGTATTGATGTTTTCATATGTTGTTGCTGACACTGGATGTCCTTATTTGCCATACAAAATGCTCTTGCATCCATGTTTGAAGTCACTCCTACTGTTTAATAGTTTGAAATGATGGGGCTTCATTACCCAGCATCTATCTATGTCCCAGTGAGTTTCTGTTGAAATAAATAAGTATCTTCTGACAGAGGTACCAAATCATGACTCGGCCAGCCTCTCTTTTTTCTGGTATTTCATTCAATTTCCACTTGGGTGGGGGAGAGAAGAAAACCTGTCAATTTCATTAATTTTTCACAGTCTATCACAAAGCTCCAACTTAACATTCTACAAAATTTTAACTATTTAGCATCAATTCTTGTGAATCTCAAAACTTTTTACTCTTCCTCTGTATACTAAAAATTCATGATTCATTGATCATTCAATACTGCTTGAAAACAAATCTGAGCATATTATACGATAAGTATATAAATGATGAGATTCTGTTTTTATGTTGTCACTCTGCTTGTGAAAATGTATGTCTTCCTTGTGTATGAAAACAGAAATTTATAGATTAATTTTTTTTTTCCTAAAAATTCATGATTTATTGATTATTTAATACTGCTTGAAAACAAATCTGAACATATTATACGATAAGTATATAAATGATGAGAGTCTGTTTTTATGTTGTCACTCTGCTTGTGAAAATGTATGTTTCTCTTGTGTATGAAAGCAGAAATGTATAGTTTTTTTTTTTTTTTTTTTTTTTTTTTTTTTAAAGGTTGATATCAAAGGAAATGTTTGCTGTACTCATCAGTTTAAAACTGCATTAGCCATAAAACCAGAAAAACTATATACTTTCAGGTTATACCTTTTCCCTCTTTCTTATGATGCTTTAATATTTCTTTTAATGTATATATATATTGTTTAAAATAATTAATATAATATTTTATGAAAATAGGAAGCTGACCATTAACCCTTCTGTGCAAGCAAAATTTTTGTATTGACAATTTTTCATTGATAAATTACAATGCAAGCCATGCCATAGCATAATTACCAATAAAATTACATTCTTGCTTCCCTCCTATTATTATTTTATATTCTTTATCTTACTTCTAACTAATTAATCAAGGTAAAACAAAACTGCTTACCTTGTTCCAATGGGTTCGGCCAGGGCCACTGGAGGCATTCTTCTCAGGGAATCTATCTGTAAAATCTTGAGAGGGATAATCCATAAATGATAAACTTTCTTAACACAAACATATTTAATGAAGGCGTTAACGGTTACATAATTTTACATAATGAAAGGTTAAATGTTCGTGCGACTTCTCAGTCCCGAGTTCTCGTGATCTCTAGCGAGAGTTTATAGTTCGAGATGACGTCACTCAGCCATCGGATCTCAGCAAGAGTTGAGTTGCAACATCCTCCCGCCCGGAAGGACAATTGCCGTAATTGTCCTTATTTCATTCCAGCTCCACCGGATACAGTAATTGCACTGGTCTTTTAATCGTATGTCTATTGGGCAAGCGGACAGCACAGGCTCTCACCTTGCCATCTCTCCCAGGAAAGACTTCCATTATGATGCCCATCTTCCACATCAGCCGTGGAATTTTATCTTCATGCACTAATACAATAGTTCCTTTCTTCAAACAGGTTCCTGTTTTCGCCAGTTTGGAATGATGAGCAGATTTTAAATTCATCAAATAATATTGCCTCCATTTTCGCCAGATTCTTTTTACCAGTATCTGTTGATGTCTAAATCGACGTGTAAGACTTTACTTTGTTGAAGTTAATTTAGAGCTTCCTTGTGGCAATGATAGTAATCGTCTTCCTATTAAGAAGTGACCAGGGGTCAAAGATTCTGGCTCTCCTAGATCTGAGTATGTAAATGTCAAAGGTCTGGAGTTCAATATAGCTTCCACTTCTGTTATGACTGTCTCTAATTCCCTGAACGTCAAGGATGATTTTCCTAAGATTCTCTTCAGAAGTGCTTTAAGAGACTGAACCATACGCTCCCAAAAGCCTCCCCATAGTACATTTTCACCTCTAGTTAGTAAACCAGCTGGATTATGTTCACCAGGTGTATATCTCCAGTTCAAGACATCTGAATTCTTCTGTATTTCCTTCACTCTGTTCTGAACGAATGGCTTCCACCTTTTCACATCACTTCTAATCCTATGTAACGTTATACTAGAATCGGTCCACATATATACAATTAAATCAATGTCCCGAAGTTTCTTTTGAATGTAATTTGACAAGCGCGAGCCTATCAAAGCACCCATCAATTCCAATCTGGGAAGTGATAATTTTTTCAAAGGTGCTACTCGTGATTTTGATGTAATGAAACTTGTATGAATGACTCCATTTTTCGAATAACGAAAATACAGAACAGCCCCATAGGCCTTCTGACTCGCATCTGTGAAACAGTGTAACTGTAAACCATCCTTTATATCCCTTTTCCCAGCACCTGCAAACTGATGTCTTGGTATTTCCAAACTAGAAATATGAGCTAATTCATCACACCAGCTTTGCCAATTCTTTCTGAGATTTTCTGGTATTTCAGTGTCCCATGCTATCTTTTGTTCCCATAAATCTTGTAATAAAATCCTAGCTCGAATGGTGTATGGATTTAAAAACCCCAGTGGATCAAAGAAACGTCCTACAAATCTCAAGATTTCCCTTTTAGTTGGTATGTTATCTATCCTTTTGGCATCTTTTACCAACTCTTCAATTTCTATCAAAAATGTATCATTTGACTTATTCCATATGTATCCCAATACTTTAGAACAAGTCGAATCGTGTGAAAAATCTTCTTCATTCCATACCCTTTGTAAATTCGTTTCATTCGTTTTCCACTTCCGCATGTTAAATCCACCTTCTTTCAGTATGTGTTTAATATGTTCCGATTCCTCGAATGCTTCTGATTCTTCATCTGCTCCAGCGATTAAATCGTCAACATACATATTTTCAGTTAGCACGGAAAATACGTTCGGATACTGTAACTTGTATTTGTCAACATGTACATTAAGAGTTGCTCTGAGAAGAAACGGACTAGATGTTGCTCCAAAAATTACCCTTGTCATACGAAGAGCCTTTATTTTGGTTCCATTTAATTCACCATCGTTCCATAGAAACTTGAATGCGTTTCTGTCTTCATCAGCAAGGGAAATCTGCAAGAATGCTTGTTCGATGTCAGCTGTAAACGCAATTCGATTTTGACGGAACTTAAGGAGCAATTCCAGTATATCTGGACTCATCTTAGGACCTGAATGTAAACAGTCATTTAATGACAAACAATTCTCCGCATGTGACGAAGCGTCAAAAACCACACAAAGTTTTGTAGTTTCCTTGTTTTCTCTTATAACGGCTTGATGCGGCATAAAATACGTTTTTGGTCCAATTTCAATGTTAGTCTCTTCGGCGATTCCTTCTTTTAAGTACCTATCAATTACTTCGCGATATCTGTCATAGAACTGTTGATTATTCTGAAATCTACGACTTAAACTCTTAAGTCTAATTTTAGCAATCTCCAGATTATCTCCTAGCTCATTTGAATTATGATTCCAAGGAAGGCGCACAATATAACGATTGTTTCCAAACTTCACAGATCTTTTGAAATTATCGAAAACTAAATTATCTTCTAATTCGACTTCCTTATCCGAATCATAATTTATCCCCATAGAATCGAGCTCCCAGAGATTCTTCAGCAAACTAGACAGTGATTCGTTCTGTGTATCTTTATTATTATGAACCACAACCTTCATAGTATTCACATTATTTTGTGAAATTCCGTAAGCCCTTTCGGTTCCACTAATGGTCCAACCCAATTTTGTTTCAACCGCTACTAAGGAATTAGACAGTCTGTGAACCTTACCCGTAACTATCTTCCAATAAAAATCCGCTCCTATCAACAAAGAAATTTTCGGCGGTTTATTCCGTGGTCCTCATTCTTTGGAAAGTTGTATGCCCTGTTTTTTAATAAGATCAACTATTTCATTTCTAGGGGAATGAATATGTGATCCATTAATGACAGGAATAATTAAAGCTTCTATTTTGATTTCATATCGATTCTTCGAATTACGCAAAATGAGTCTGGTTTTTTTAACATTCTGCGCTTCAGACGTCGTGCAACCGAAAGAGAATATTTTTATTTTTTCTTCTCCAATAACGGGAAGTTTTAATTTCTTACAGATGTCCTCTCTAATAAATGTTCGCTGCGATCCTAAATCAAACAACAAGCGAACGCTTTGCTGGCGCAAATTGCCTGTGTTTATAATTTCAGCTGGTGCTGTCAGAAGAAATGAGTTATTTGCTGTTGCGCAATCGGAAACAGAAGAGACTACTGCCTTTGGACGGTACTCTTGTCAGACGCATTCGTTTCGTCAGAGTGTATCAATGTATGATGTCGCTGATCGCAAATACCACAAGTTAGTTTCGATTTGCACATCCTAGCTAAATGGCGTCTTTTGAGGCACCTGAAACAAAATCCACTTCGCATTAACGCTTCCTTTTTCTCTGGCACAGTTTTTTGACATGATTCTGACGTATGATTTTCAAAACAGAATAAACAGCTATTAGATAGTGATGTGTTTAACGCTGCCGCTGAAGGAATTCTACCCTTATTATAATCCCGATTTCTTTCGCTGTCTCGAAAACGTTCTCCAAACTGTCGCTTATTTTGAAAATGGGATTTCTTTTCAGTGACTTCAGAATCTGTTGGCTTAATTAAAAATCCTGTACGTTCTCAACTTTCTATTTCTTTTCTTAGAAAATGGAGCAAATTCGTAATTTTTGTCTGATTATCATCTTCATACTTCCTATTAAATTCTAGTGCTAAATCATTCGAAATCACCTTTATTAATATCGGATATAATAAGGTACTGTACGAATCCGGTAAAATATTACACGATTCTAATCCTCTAATTTGTACTTCACAACGATCATATAATTTTCGAAGTGCTGTCACATCGCCGACCTTTTAACCGGAGTAAGAGTTAATAAATTGTTCATATGGGTATCTATTATTAGTTCTTTGAGTCCGAAGCGATCTTTTAATATTTTCACAGCCTTCTCGTAATTCTCCGCTGTTAATGTCAACTCTTGTATTGCAGTTTCTGCATTGGAAGTAAGAATTGACTTTAAATAGTTAAATTTATCTACGGCATGTAGACTTTCGTTTTCGTGTACAGCTGTCTCAAATCGTGCCCAAAACCCGGGCCAACTGCACACGTCCTTTCCCGAAAATGTTTCCAGTGCCAATTTGAGGAGTTTAATTTTGTTCTGCGATTCAGTGATATTTCCACATGAAGTAGAATTAGTGCTATGTGGATTAGTATCTAAATATCTTTTCGTGTGTAATTTCCAAATAATAATTTTACTTTTATACCCTTCTCTAGACATTATTTCATCTTCTAAATTTGCTACATAAAGTTTCAATACCATTATCCGCTAAGATTAGTTCTTCTTTACTAATTTACTGAGCAACCGTTTCTTCAATTACATTTTTATCCCCCTCATTAGCAATTTCTGTTTCTATTTTATTTATTAGCCTCGTAACTACTGCTCTTATAGCAGATCGTTTCTTTTTTAATTTTTCTAAATCCATATTTTTGCTTAAGCAAAATCTATTCAATTTCAGTTCAAATTCAACCCAATGGCCCCACGTTGGGCACCACAATATTATTATTTTATATTCTTTATCTTACTTCTAACTAATTAATCAATGTAAAACAAAACTGCTTACCTTGTTCCAATGGGTTCGGCCAGGGCCACTGGATGCATTCTTCTCAGGGACTCTATCTGTAAAATCTTGAGAGGGATAATCCATAAATGATAAACTTTCTTAACACAAACATATTTAATGA